ATTGTTTGCTTTTCTCTCTCTCAGTAGGCCATGTGCTTCAAGAGGGTAGAGGCTGTCTTGTTGATCTCTGTATCCCTTGCACTTAGCACAAATAGGACATCCAAAAACTGCTTGATAAATAATTCTTTTACTTTTATTATAATTTATTTAGCACCTACTAGATATACCAGAAAATATGCCAGGCTCTTGACGTAAGTGATTTAATATACCTTTAGAACTACAAGGAGCACTGGCGGTACAGTGGTTAAGTATTCAGCCGCTAACTAAAAGGTCGGCAGTTTGAATCTACCAGCTGCTCCTTGGAAATCCTATGGGGTAGATTTACTCTGACCTAGAGGGTCGCTATGAGTCGGAATTGACTCGACAGCAACGGGTTTCTTTTTTTTTTCTTTGGTTTAGAACACAAAACACATTACTATTATTCATCTATCTTAAATGAGCAAACTGAGGGCAGAGGATACAGTACTTCGCCACAAGTAGTAAGAAGCAAAATCAGGACTCAGACTCCAGTCTGTCTCACACCAAAGCCTGTCTTCTTTCTTTGCACCATTCTAAAACTATGATACAATTTCTTACACGCTAAAAACAGATACAGGAATAAAGGACAATGGGAACATGAAATGTTAAAATTCAATTCTACTCAGAAGAGGTCAAGAAAATTAGGAGAGAAGAAGTAGCATTCGAGTTGGGGCACGAAGAATAAATAGCAGTTTGCCTGGCAGCTGAGAGAAGGACATTTCGTTCACATGGCAATTATTAATGTGCTATAGCAACAGAAGATGATGGTTTTAGGGAAGCTGCAGTTCTCTCATACCTAAAGGAAAAGAGAAGGGAGTAATGATTTCTATTTCTCAGCGTTGTGCTGAAGACCACATATTACACAGAAAGTATTTAATATGGGAACTAATACAGAATAAGCTCTCAATCAATGGCAGAAAAAGAAAAAGAAGATCCTGATGATGATGATGATGATGATTTTACTAAAAACCAGGGTTCTCCTAAATAAGTTAGGGGCTTGGTGTATCAAAAAAGATCAACAGGAAAGCAGATCAAAGGCATCAGGGGCACTGAAACAAACATCTTTGGAAAGGTAGCCCCTAATTTGATCTCAAAATTTTCAAGTGATATTCATATTCATCAAGGGGGATCAGATCAAAATAATAATAATAAAAGAAAAACTTTCTGAATCATAAAGATGGCGGTATATTTACTGGAAGAAGATATTAAAGTTTCTATCCCATAGAAAATTTAAAACTAGCGTATGGTAAATGCCTGGTAATTGAAAAGTGGAAAAAATAATATTGAATAGGTTTTCCCAAACTTGGGATTCCCTGAAAGTGAAAATAATAATAATAATAATTTATACATCAAAATAACAGTACAAAACATCATTTGCTCTATTCACTCATTCAGAGTAATTACAGCAGATGAATTGTGGGAAAAGATGGTGGGACTACCAGTTAAAAGTAATACTTCTCCTAGTGTCATATGCCTATTCTGTATCTTAATCCTTCCCCTCTCTAGCGTTTTCTTCTCTGGGCAAATAAAAAAATTAAAAAAAAAAAAAAAAGTAAGGGTAACAGTTTGTTATTCAATTACCAGAAAATCATGTCTAATATATATTGTTTTGTACAGTCTTTTTTAAACTTCACAAAATTCCCATAAATAATTACCAATAAGCATTTGCAGATAAGGCATAGTAAAATTAGGGTTTCAGTAATCCATTCTTCTAAAAAATAAAAGTGTGTGTTTACACTAAAAGGAATACTGGTAAATTGTATTAAATTAACATATGGAAAAGCTGATATAATGTCATTTAAATTAACACTTAAAACTTTTTTCAATTATTTTTCTTTAAAGAAAAAAAATGCAATTTCTAGAGTGTCCTAGAGTGAGAAGACACTGACTTTGAATTTTAAGGCAGTGAAGCCATCTAGTGGTTAATGTTGGTATTGCCAAGGCTTCGAGACGGTCACTTCTACTGGTAGACATTCGGTCTCATTCAAAATTTCACATTTAAAAAGGCATATACAACATGTCAGCTCTAGAACTTAGGTGTAAAAAATAAACAGAACTGAAAGTCTTTCCTGTGAGGGCTCCACAGCAATGCATCAAGACTCTCACATTGCTGCACTGGTCACAAAGTATTTTTATATTAATCTATATTTTATAACTGACTTCTACACCTTAAATCAGAGGCTAAAGCTATTAAAATAACCACAGCAAAATATTAAACTTAGTGAGGAATATGAAAAATATTAAGCAGTTTGAGAGGCTGCAACAATGGGCTCAAACATAACACACAACTGTGAGGATGGTGCAGGACCGGGCAGTGTTTCTTTCTGTTGTCCACAGGGTCGCTGTGAGTCAGAACCGACTCAATAACATTTAACAACAACAAACAACATGGTTGTACTTCCTTTTTGTCAGGCCTTTTTGCCATGATTTTTAACTTATTTATAAGCCACTATGGTCCAGGACTCTATAGTATCTCAGCAATTTAAAGCCTGCCCTGAAAAACCCAGAAAAGAAGGTGCAAAAGATGGCTACCCCATCACACGTCCCTCCACTCTCACAATGTTTATGGCTTAAAAAACAAACAGGAACTGCTTATGGGAAAATCTAGCTTAAGCTTAGAAGCCTGGAGAAAGTTGTCATCTTCCCATTTTCACCACCTGCTTTCAATCTCTGAAACTTCTGCATCAAGTTACAGGGGAATATTATGGAGAAAATATAATTGCAAAATAATGTTGAGAGAACAGGAGGAAAGAGAAAAGGGCCTGAGAAATACCATCGTTGCTACTGTTGTTGTTAGGTGCTGTCAAGTCAGTTCTGACTCATAGTTACCCTACAGGACAGACTAGAACTGCCCCACAGGGTTTCCAAGGAGCAGCTGGTGGATGTGAACTGCCAACCTTTTGGTTAGCAGCCAAGCTCTTAACCACTGTGCCACCAGGGCTCCATCATATTAATTAATAATGAAGTTACTTGCACTTTCGGCATTCTGCCTTCTCCCAAAATAACTGATAACTAATAGCATTTATTAAGACTTTAGTGTCTCAAACCCTAGTCAACAATGCTCCTCTGAAGGCCCCAAATCTGTCTTAGAACAGAGAAATGTAAATTTAATATGCCCAGGGATTCTTCTCCTAGCTATAGACCTATAATCTTTCTCACCTGAGCACAGGTCCATCAACACTCCATTCTTCCTTTCCACTCCCAAATTCTCAAATGCTGAAAAATGGAGTTGTTTAACTCAGTAAGAGTTAGATAATACTATATGAGCATTTACTTTTGGCCACTCAAGCGAAGAAGTTTGAAGACTCCTTTCTATATTCCTTTAACCCACCTCCAAAGAGGAGGATTACTGATCTGTTGTGAAACTCTAGCACACTGCATTGAGCCTCAAGCCTAGTGAGTGAGCTTCCAAGGGTGTTGGAAGACATGAGTGAGGCCCTTCCCAAGAAACCCCAAGAGGCTAATGGAAGCAGCTCTCCCTAGGAAGATGGCCTCCTCTCTCATCTTGTAAAGATGCGCAGACACTGCTTTGATGTTATTTACTTTTCCCATAGAGAATTGTTGTACTCATCATACCTGTCATCTAATCTGGAGTTTTCAAAGTATGCTGCTCCCAAAACCAGCAGTGTCAACATTTCCTGGAAACTTGTTCAAAAAAATTCTCGGGCTTCATTCCAATTCTACGAAATCAGAAACTCCGAGGGGCAGGGGCTGGGGCCCAGCAATCTGTGCTTTAGCTAGCCCTCCAGGTGATTCTAGAGCACAGTGAGCTCTGAGAAATACTACCATAACCAGAAAATAAATGTAAAAAACCTGGAGAGCATTCTGAGAAGAACAATGAAAATGAGTAAGAATAAACAAAGGAACCAAAATAGATGGCTTTATCAAAGAGAAACCTGTGGGGTGACATTTACAAGTCTTCAGTACATGAAGAATTATTCACAAAAGACGGTAACCAGATGTTCTCCATTTCCCCTGAGCGGAGATAAAGAAGACATCACTAATGTTAAGTTGCAGCATAAGAAATTTAGACTAAAATATAGTTTGTTGACATGAATGTTGCTAAACATAAAACGAACTGGTAAACGAAGTTGCAGAACCTTCTTTGTATCTTCTGCCTCAAAACTGGAGTAGATTAGAAACCCTCTTACTGTTATTTCCATCACCATGATCACCATCTATTCCATAAATGGACTAATATCAGAAAATGGGAAAAATATATGTTGTTACATTATAGCCCTTTTCAAATTATTCCTAAAATATCTGAGGTGTAATAAATACTTTAAATACTTGAGTGTTAAAATAAGTTTATTCAAACACAAAATACATGTTAAAAGTATTATTTCCTTAGATTATAGCTAATGATGTTCCTCAGCTTAATAGTTCAAAAAGTGACTAAAAGCACATATAAAATTCTTGGCTGATACAATTTACGCATATTTTCAAACGAGAAAAAATTAAATATAAATGAATAGGCAGTGAAAGACTGGTTGCTATCTAAAAATGTATCCTTGTATTTAAAGAAGATGACTGAAAAAAATTGTAACATGAACACACATATGCGTGATGCAAAATGACAGCAATAAGTAAATGCATTGTTTGCCAAATTTCTCCTAATTCCTCTCATCTTATAATTTTGTATTAATAAATTCATAAAATAAATGTAACAGGTAACAAAAATAAAAAATTAAGAAAAGGTCCTTTTCCCAAGCTTCAATAATATCTGATAAGCCTCAAATTGTTTTCTAATTCCTGAAACAGAAGTGTTTTTTTTTTTAAATGTTGAAAAGTCACCAGAAGTTTAACTCAACAATTTTCCATGTGTACAGGAATTCACCATAATGACAACTTTGTGACCTGTTCATCTCCAAAATACTCCTTTGCGGTTGCAGTCTCTTTAGATAAAAAATAATTCCAATAACTTAATAGATGTTGATAACTTAGAAAGTTAGCTAACTTAGGAAGTCAATGTTTTTCTTTACCTTTTCTACCTTTCCACCATTGATGTCACTGGGGAGGAATTTCTTGCCAATTGTTCTCAGATCTGTCTAAAATAAAAATATTATTATTAAAATATAATCATAGAGAAAAGCAAATCTAAATTGCATAAACAAAAGATGAAATTACTTAAGGATTTGTGGATTAAAAACTAAATAAATATTGCAAACAGATGGAAACAACCTAAGTGTCCATCAACAGATGAATGGATAAACAAACTGTGCTACATACACACAACGGAATACTACACAGCTATAAAGAACAATGAGGAGTCCACGAAACACGTTATAACATGGATGAATCTGGAGGATATTATGCTGAATGAAATAAGTTAATCACAAAAGGACAAATATTGTATGATCTCACTTATACAAAAAGTCTAGAATAGGTATATACACAGAAAGTGACGTTCTTTGATGGTTACCAGGGACAGGAGGGGGAAGGAAGGAAAATCACTTTCCAGATAATAGACTTGCTATTTTTTGGGTAATGGGAAAGGTAATACCCAATATGGGTGAAGTCTGCACAACTTGTTCAAGGTAAATGAAGACACTAAAAATATGCAAGAATAAGGGACAATTTTGCAACAAAAACCAAAAAAATATGTATGTGGTTACATAGGTAGACATGTATGCATACATGTGTATAGGAAGGCACATATGAGTAAATGGGTGTGCATGTACAGGTGTATCTGTAGGCATACATATATACATGTTTATGTGTGCTGCATATACATTCATATATATAATAAACCACATAGGGGGCACAGCTACAGATACTTCCTAGATATAACCAAACACCTCGTTGGAACTAGATTACTGGGTTTGAAGGCTTAGGACCACAGTCTCACGGGAAAATTCAGTCAACTGGCATAACATAGTTCATAAAGATACTGTTCCACATCCTAGTTTGGTGAGTAGCGTCTGGTGTCTTTGCGAGTGGCCATCTAAGATACAATTATTCTACCAGCTTGGAGCTAAAGAGAATGAAAGAAACCAAAGATTCAAAGAAGAAACTAGCCCACAAGACTAACAGCCCAATGAACCACAGCCTCATTTAGCCTGAGACCAGAACTAGATGGTGCCCAGCTATCATTATGGACCATTCTGACCAGGGACACAACAGAAGATCCGAAACAGAAAGGGAGAAAAACATAAAACAAAACTCAAATTCCTAAAAAAGGGCAGACTTACTGGATTGATAGAGACTAGAGGAACCCCAGAAACTATTGCCCTAAAATACCTTTTGAACTTGGAACTGAGGTCACTCCTGGTGGTCACCTTTCATCCAAACAATTGATAGGCTTATAAAATAAACAGCATCACCCGTGAATACTGTGCTCCCTTAAATAATCAACTATATGAGACCAAATGGTCAACACTTACCCTAAAACAAAGATGAAAAGCTAAGGTGGGGCAAGGAAGCTAGATTAATGGAAACAGAACAAAAAGAATGGAAATAATGAGAATGCAGACACACTGTGAAAAATGTAACCAATGTCATGGAACAAGTTGTACAAAAATTGTTAAATGGGAAACCAATTTGCTGTGTAAACTTTCACCTAAAACACAATATTTTTAAAAAACTAAATGTCTATTGATTGAGATTCATACGTATAATCAATCTTACAAATAACATAATACTATACATAAAGTTGCTTAAAGTGCACCAGTAAACTAAATAGTAATATATAAAGTGTCAATTCTGGTCATATTTCTTTAGGTAAAGTTCTAACATACTATTCTCCACTAAAATCCAAAGCTTGATTTTATGTAAATTTAATCTTACCTAAAAATTAGCACCACAATCCAAAATTAAATGACTACTTTTGAGTATATAAACACAGTATATGTTCACAATTGAACCCTACACAAACTTGATATGCAGAGATATGAAAATACATAATTCTGTCGGCTTTGATACCCATAATATAACACACAAATATTTCAGGGAATAATACCACTGCAATCACAAAGAAGTTACAGTAAGACTTCACTATAGTAATTATTTTTTTCATCTGCTTAAACAAATCACACAGACAGAAGGTAGTGCACAAGGGACTGACTATATGAAAATACTGAAGTACATGTCACTCGGCAAACCAAAGCAATACACAAAAAGGGACTAACATAAATAAAGTTACAGCATTTCTGATATAAAAAGAAAACTTCAACTACCTAATCTACATAAAAAGAGAACTTTCAAGGATTATATCTTCTTTAAGAAGTGAAAAGCTAAAGGAATGGTAAGAAATTTACTCAAATGGCAAGTATTAGTATTTATGAAAAAGGCCTAATTATTTAAGCTAAGAAATTAACCTCATGCTTGAGATAGTGAGGTTGAATTAATAATTACACTTGTATGGTTTTGTTATTCCTTGAAATATAGTAAACAGTAACTCTTCATAGCCTTAAGTTTAGAATAAAAGAAAATACAGTGCATTTATTCACATAAATTATAATGGATAAATTTAGATTAGATTTAAGGAGAAAACTCCAGATGATTACAATTCATGTGATGTAAAATCAATACATATGGAGAGACAGGATAGTCTTCTTTGCACATCTGTAATAACAGAATATCCTCCTATGTGGAATATCCTTATGTAGTCAACCTAAGACACAAGCACATAAATTACATGATGCTCATTAATCCTTTCCAGTCTTTTAAATTATAAACTGTGCCTCAGGTTGGATGCCTTTTCACTTTTAAAAATTCCGAGCAATACAAGGGTAGAAAATACTTCCTTATCCTGGCTTTTCCTATGTTACGGCTGTTTGGAGCATTAAATGTTAATACACGTGAAGCACAATGACTGGCACAGAGGTAGCATTCAGTGAATGTCAGCCATCATAATGATTTCAGCAAATATAAGACATCATCAGTATGATAACATTTTGTTATCATTTAAACATGCATAACAACTATTAAGTCAATAATACAACTAACAATTCATAAAAACAAAGGCATGTTTTGAAGTCACTCAAAGGCTAAAATAATTGGTTTTTATTAGTAATCATGAAATTTAATTCATACATCCAAGCTAAAATGAGGCATCAGTGTAAAGGAGAAATGAGTCCTTGACTAAAATCCTAGTTTGATTCATCTCAAGCTGTAATTAATTAACCATATGACCTTGCACAGTGTAACAAATTCTCTAAATTCACTTAATTTATTCTTATATAAAAAGGAAAAAATATTACCAACTGTGAAGTGTGGAACCACCTTGCAGTAAGCCATTTTGCCTTTGGCCCTGGGGGAGAGCCTGACCACAAGCAAGGCCAATAAGTAGGGGTGACCAGACCAAGAGGGATCACCTGGGGGCCCAATCCTGACTAAGCCTCAGGAGGCACGATGTAACCTATCATGGCCATGTGGTGAGGCCAATAAAAGCCTTGGAAGACGGAGGCTGTGTAGCTTCCTGGGTGGAGAGGATGAACATTTGCTCTCGGGAGGGTAAGCATGTCCCCAGGGGACATGGAAGCTCTGCGCCAAGTCCCCACCAGGACCTTGCCCTTTGTGTTTTTATCTTTTTTCCTACTATTAAAGATAACCCCTTTATCTGCAATTTGTGACTCATTTCAACAAATTTCTGGACCTAAGAAACAGAGAGGGGGCCAGCACCCACTGACCTAGCCCTGGGTGACTGGGGATAAAAGGGAAGGACTGTGGAGGAGCTGGGGTCTGGGCTGACCAGGGAAGGGAGGATGAGGTTTCCCTGGGCTGGTATGACGTAACTGGTGCAGCAAGCAGAGAGGACCCTGACTGCTCACCAACCCCATCTCACAAAGTTGTTGTCAGGCTAAAAGAAGACATTATATTCAAAGTTTAGGTAATACTTTTAAAATACTATACATACGTATAAGAAATAAATGATAGTTTAATGTATTTTTAGTATAAAAAAATAACAAATCTTTAAACATCCTAAATTCAAAGTCAACTTATAATACTGCAATGGCTTTATTATCCAGACTCCATTTTATCAGGATCACTAGGAAGAATACTTCTACACTGAACATAAAAAAAAAAATGAAGGAGAAATATTTAGTCTATTAACTTCTTCTTACAATTTATAAAGCATCCAGCTACATACACACACACACACGCACATGTACACATACACACACAAAAGATTACTATTTACTCAAGTAAGTTCAATAGAATATCTGTTTGGTAGATCATTTTATACTATACAGAACCTTAGAGAAATTTTTTAGAAACAACCTGTTTTTTAATTGTTACAAACAGTGTTCAGTAATTTAAGACTGGACTACCACTTAATTTTTTTTCTGAATAATTCAGTTATTTATACCCCAGAACTACAGGCCTGATTTCAATTCCCTTTCTCAATATTATTATTTTTCACTTTACAGAATACGAAATTAAGGACTCTCCTTTTTCACATAAAAATCTATGCAGAAAATAGTTAACATAGCAGACTGAGTGTGCTATCTTTAGCAGAGCCTGCTTACAATATTGGCCCTAGGCTGACATCTGGGAATTTGGTACTTCAACCATTCCCTACCTGAAAGTGTGGTTCACTGTTGAGACTGTTCGTACAAACTACGTGATTTATGATGAACACCTGCTTTTTTTCTGGGAGTCTGGAATTTTGCTATCTGCTAGGCAGAGGCTACCTTCATGACCACTACAATAAAAGCCTTGGGCACCGACTCTCTAATGAGCTTCCCAGGGCAGAAATATGGTACACATGTCATTGCATTTTTCATTGCAGGAGAAAAGTACAAGCTCAGTGTGTCCCTTCACGAGAGGAAGAGAACATAAGAAAGCCTGTACATGGATTTATCCACACTCCTTTTTTTTTTTCCATTGCCAGTCTTGCTGTGTATGTTTTCTCTGTAATAAACCTTAGTCATGAATATGTGCTGAGTCCCAAGAGTTCTTCTAGTGGATCATCAAACATACGAGTGCTTGTGAGGACTCACAAAACAAAATCCCATATATTCATTGTCTTTCCCTAGTAGAATTTAAAAAAAAAAAAAAAACTGAATTAAGATGTCCAATCTTACAATAATTAATGTTATATTATAAAGAATCATTAATACAAGTCTTTCTCAACTAGCAATCAATAAAACCACTATCACTTAAAAGTTGAAAAAAATTCAACAGAATACTCCAAATGCCTGATTTTATTGAAAGGTAATACACTTGAAATACGGAGCCCTGGTGACACAGTGGTTAAGAGCTACAGCTGCCGACCAAAAGGTCAGCAGTTTGAATCCATCAGCCACTCCTTAGAAACCCTATGGGGCAGTTCTACTCTGTCCTATAGGGTCACTATGAGTTGGAACCAACTCGAGAGTACCTAACAACAACAACACTTGAAAAGTAAACGATTTATTTAGTGTGGCTTTCATCCTGCTTAAAGTTTTCGTTTTGTTGATCATATGTCATAATAGCTTTGGATTGGGGTTTCAACTACATATGCCAGAGAAAATTATAAAGACAAATTAATTCATTCAGAAACAGTCATCCTGTATGTCTTGTGTGCATAGCACAAATATTTCATCTTGATTAATTTAGTTTCACACACAATTATAGCTAGTTCACTGCTATGTAAATATATAAACACAGGAGTAACTGAGGGATTGATAAAAGAATATTAGTTTGCTTATATTTATATTTCAAACAAAAAAAATCCCAATTATGAAAAAGATGAGAGATTAGAAATACTCATGAAAATGCTAAAGGTAATTAACTATAAGTGGGTTTAGTTTTTATATTTTGCTCTTCTTTATTTTCTCAAGTTTCCTACAAGATGTACATATTATTTTTTCATTAGGAAAAGTTATTTTGAAACAATAAATCCAATTTTCAAAATTCTATAACCTAGTGAGGGTTTCCACGTAAATTAAATGGCAATTTTTTAAAAATGAATATAGTCAGTTTTCAGTGCTATTATATTGCTACATTATGAAATTCTATAACTGATCACTGGGTTTAAAAAAAGTAATATTAATTGCTTTTTTTTCTGTATCACTGGATTCTGCAGAGTAAATGCTAAAGAAACATACTTCTAAATAAAGTTGGCTGATCTAAGATAACCAAATTCAACCAACGTCACAGCAACTTAATGGACAATAAAAATGAAAAGTATTCTCTATATTACTTATCATAAAATATAGTTTACTCTATGAGAAGTTTTTCATGAATATAGCTTCCATGTTAAAAGTGTTTATAAATTAATAAAATAACCTACATTGAGAGCAATCATGATGATGTCATTTATATTGACTTTGTCAGGAGAATTTGTACAAGCTTCAATGCCTTCATCTGAAAGATACCTGTTAAAATAAAATAAATGGATTAATATTTTCTAAAATCAAAATTTCCATCTTAATCTACATACGATTCTATTCTCTACTATAAAATGCTTCTACTCCAAATACTAGAGAAAAACCCCTGGATATTTCTGTTTATTTGCCATTTCTGACGGAACACAATGGAAAATGTACACTTTCTCTTTCGTATCCTTAAAAGGACTTTCTAGTAATAAGATTATCTATATGATTTCTTGGAAACGCTATTTAAAGGTTGATACACTTCTTAAGGAATGCAAGAGATATATTTTGCTATTATAATATCTGAATTAATATACGGTAATACATAAGTTCTTAAAAGAGATTGAGATATGATGTAAAAATAGAACTGAAAATAACATATTTTTTAACTTAGTCCAACAGAAGTTTCCTTAAGCTACTTTCTTACATTAGTTTCTGAAGTCCCCTTTCTTTAACATAATGTTCTCAAGAATCCTTCAGTAAATGCTATCGACTCTAAGCACCATAAAGACAAGCACTTTTTTACCACACACTTTTTACTTTTCCTGTCCGTTTTCTACTTTTTTTTACTCACTGTCTTATTTGCTCTCTGCCCTTTTATCCAGTCCAAACCAACCACACTTCCATCAGAGACAATATATAACTCAAGGCTAAATAGATTTCTGAATCCAAATAATGAAAAATTATGTCTACCCACTCACCCACACCCAACATGGCCACTTTGAAATCCTTTAACAAATTCTACAATTTGAATCTTACCCCCATAAAGTCCACTTGTAAAAATGCCCAATAACAGCTCATATCTTTTGTAATAAGCACCTCCACTGCAGATACTCTCCCACTGATAAAAGCACCCAGAACTACAAGTCTGACAGAGCGAACTCAAGCTCATTCTTGATGCCCAGCAATTCCACTATTAAGATGAACATTAGACCTATTCTAAGACACTTTGTTAATGTAAATCATACTTAGAGAGAGCAACCTAAAACATATGTGCCTTTAAGAAACAAAGAATGAATGATTTCGCAAAAGAAAATGAGATGAAAGAAATGTGAATAGTTAGGAGTGTACAAAAGAGCTACAGGAGATAAAGTTGACAAACCTATGAACAAGATCACATCAAAAAAGAGTATATATAAATCAAACAAGAATATTAACAAAATTAGGTACCATTAAAAATTTAAAACAATGGCAGCGCTAAACTACAATGAGGAATGAAGGCAAGTAGCTAAGTGGGTTATAAACAGAAAGAGAAGTGCTAAGTGTATAAATGAATCCATAAGAATGTTTAGATGGACAGCAGGAGTGATAGTACGTAAGTGATCACAAAATATAAATGTTTGCAGTAAACTACGATGGTTAAAACACTGCTTTAATCCAAAATAGCTAAGTTAATGTCTTTATTAACCTATTAATTTTTCACTGCTTGTGGTGCAGTGAGTTTCTCTTACATATGGCCTTCCTGGCCTTAGGTTTATAATTCTGCCAAAATGACTGGCTAGGCCACAATCCTGCAAAGGAATTGGTTAGCCTACTAAGCAAACAGGGTACATAAAATCACCCAAAAGGATTAAGTGACCTTGTGGGAACTGATCGATCACTATGCAAGTTAAGCGATTGTGGTCTACCAAAGGGATTGGTCAGTTCGTGGTCCTGGTGGGAGGACCATGCCTTGAAATTGACAGGGAGTTAACTTACATAAGGGCCAACCTCACAGAGGTTGGAGGGAATCTCACCACCATCAAGAATAGCCTAGAGCAGAGAGCATCCTTTTGGACCCAGGATCCCTGCACTGAGAACCTCCTAGCCACAGGAGAGAGAGAAGTCTAACACTGGAGACAGCAAAAAATGGCAGCAACCACAGCAGAGCCCAGTGGCAGAGAAAGAGGGACAGCAGTACAAGCAGTGGGAACAAGAAGACTGCCGTGAGGCAGCTAGAGTGGGCTTACCAACCCATAGAGTGAGCAAGAGCTGAGTGTCTTTGGGCAGGAGGCTTGCTGGAGGAGAAGGGTGACTTTGGGCACTTGTTGGAGGAGCTAAAGAACTGTTAACGCTTTCCCTAGCAGGGCACAGCTGAGAAAAGGCCTGCCTGCAGGCATGGCCAAGAAGAAGTTGAGAGCTGTCTTGGTTGAAAGCTGTCCTGATTGAAGAAATGTATCCTGTCTTTTGAGTTGTATCCTGTTACTTGAAAGTTGATCCTGATCCCGAGTTGTAGTTGTAGCCTGTTACTTCCCCAATAAATCACAAAATCGTGAGTATTGTGTGAGTTCTGTATGGCCATTGCAACAAATTATCGAACCCAGCAGAGAAGCAGACAGTGCTGTGGGGAAGATGGCTGGTGTTAGAAATGGTGAAAAAGTTGGAGAGTAGAGTTATGTCTCACCTCCAACTCACAGGAATCAGCTTTGGGCTGATCCTGATTGTCCTCCCTCCTCTTGAATGTAGACGAAGTCTGACGCTAGTAAGTTACACTGTTCCATAGACTGTAATCATCTCACAAATTCAGTTCTACACATATTAATTAAGGCTTTATTATATGAAAAGTACTGAGCAAATCAGTATGAAGATTAGTAAGAAGATGAAAATTAAAAACTTGCCTTCAAAGAGTGTACACAGTCTCATATACAGCATAACACAATATATACACAATGATCACACAAGGCTAAAATAATTTATAAAACAAATATTACGGGGATGCAAAGGGGGAAAGTTCATAGAAAGGAAACAGTATGAATAAAGCATGGAAGTGAGAAAATGTGAAGCACATTCTAGAGGTACTATCCTGGAGCACTCTGGCTAGAAAATGAGGAAGTTATAGTATAGATTGAGACCAATTTTAGAAAGCAACAGTACACAAAGGGATACGGATGATATATTAAATGCTGATTGGGTAATTACAAAAACACAATTTCCAAACTCCTACATATTGGGAAAATAGTATGCAGTGACTAATAGACTACTTTGTTTTCCAGAAGGGCAACTCTTTAGAATTAAAGAATTATAGGATGTCAGATGAACTAGTATAGATCTTCAAAGATAATTAAAGGTTACCTCTTCATTTTTACAGATGAAGAAAAGGAGAACCAGAGATGTTGATTAAACTTGCCCAAAAATACAAACTTAAGTAATGGCAAAGTTAAAACAAACATCCACATGCACCTCCTGACTCCCAGTTCAGCTCACGTTGTGCTGTCTTTTCATTACAACAAACCACTTTTATTTATGAAACAACTGATGCTAGTATTAGGGTATGGTCTTCTCATAAAGAAAAGCCAACATGTATACAAATCAATTACTTAATCAATTAGACCCTTCACCAAAACACAACACCCACAGCACAACTAGGTAAATTCAATCAGTGAGTTCCAAAATACTTTAAACAAGAATAGGCCAGTTTAACAGTAAAAGATCTGGAAACTAATGTCAACTAATGAAGAAAGACTCAAAAATTGTTAGAATAAAAATACCCATCCCTACAAAATACGAAAAGAGAAAGTCCAGAAAAAATCAACGAAATTGAAAACAAGAAATTAATAAAGAATCAATGAAATCAAAAGATAGTTCTTTGAAAAAAGTCAACAAAACTGATAAATTACTAACAGTAGAAATGAAAAAGGGACCATGACAATTGACTCCCCGGAATTAAAAGGATAGTAAAGGAATACTATGAACAATTCTATGTCCAAAAATTTGATTACTTACATGAAATGAACCAATTCCTTGAAAGACACAACCTACAGAAACTCACACAAGGAGAAATAAATCATCGGAATAGGTCTATACCTATTAAAGAAGTTTAATCAACAATTAATAACCTTCCAAAACAGAAAACACCAAGTCCAGATGGTTTGAATGGTGAAGTCTACCAAAGAATTAACACCAATCCTTCTCATACTTTTCAAAAAAATAGAACAGGAAGGATCACTTCCAACTCATTCGATGAGGCATGCATTACCCTGATACTGAAATCAGACAAAGACATTACTAAGAAGAAAAATTACAGCCCAATATCTCTCAAAAGTCCTCAACAAAATTTTAACAAATCCAACCCCAAAATGTGGAAAAAGAATTACAGTATTTTTACACAAATATCGTGCACTTTCTGTTTTTCTGTCAAACAGCTCCATCCCCCCACCATGGGGCATATTCATAAGCGTACTATGCTAATTTTTTTCAGAAACATACCAAAAAAATTGGCATAGTGGTGCTTAAAAAAAATACCTCATAGGGAGAGGGAGCAGTTGGCAAACAAACATACAGGACACGCATTATTTGCATAAAAATACAATACACACCATGACCAAATAGGATTTATCCTAGGTATGCACAGCAGGGTCAATATTTGCAAATCAATTATTAAAACTGATCAAATCAACAGGCTTAAGAAGAAAATCATATTATCTTATCAACAGATGCAGAAAAAGCATTTGGCAAAATCCAACACCCATTCATGATAAAAACTCTCAGCAAGCTAGGAATAAGGGAAACTTCCTCAACTTGATAAAGTTTATCTACAAAAAAAAACCATATGCTAACATCATACTTAAAGGTGAAAACTAGATACTTTTCTCCTAAGATCAGGAATAAGGCAAAGATGTCTCCTCTCACCACTCCTATCAAATATCATACTGGAAGTCCTAGCTAATGCAATTAGACAAAAGAAATAAAAAGCATACAAACTGGGAAGGAAGAAATAAAGCTGCCCTTGTTTACAGATGATATAATTGTCTAATTAGAAAATCTCAGAGAATTGACCAAAAAAAGGAAAAGAAACCTCCTAGAACTATTAAGCTATTATCGCAACGTAGCAGGTAGCAAGGTTGCGTTCTTATATACCAACAATGAACAACTGGTATTTGAAATTTAAAACACAACGCCATTTACATTAGCACCAAAAAAGTTTTTTTAAATGAAATACTTAGGTATAAATCTAATAAACTATGTACAAGATGTATATGAGGAAAATAAAAAAAAAAAACAACTCTGATGAAAGAAATT